TTTTCTATTCGTTTCAGCCGCACTTCCGCATCTCTGATTGTACGCACTACTGAAAACATATTCTAATACCCGCTAAGTATCGTTTCGAATTCTTTGCCCATTTTGGTCTCACGATGACAGCACATCTGCTGTTTGATGATGTTGGAAAATTTCCCCATTATATTAATGTTACCAGCAGATATGATTGCTACTATAATTCACGAGGCGTCGCTCACTGAAGTGTACGAACGTGATACAGTTTTCTCATCCTTAGAGGCCTCCTGCTGTTTCACGACCTTCAGGTTTACAAATCAGTTTGTCCAGTACTTTGTTTCCATTTTCTGGAATTGTTATTGGGGCTGTCTTTATTTGCAATATTACCAAGATATGAAGCCAAGGTATCGCATTTGGCCGAGAACGGGGGTTACGATTGCTCGCTCCCCATTCCCACCAAACTATCAGTTCAGGTTACATTCGTGCTCGTTCAAATATTCAGCACTTCTACTGCTTGCTGATGTTTAAAAATGATTCTATTGATATTCGGAATAATCCTTTGGAGTACATTTCATATATATTCTCAATATAATTGTTAAGGCGTCGTTTCACTAAAGGTCAAGTATAAGATGTTTTCTCATCCTTCGAGACTATCTTGAATGTCTGTTTCACCAGCCTAGGCATTACTAACCAGGTTAGTCTAGCTAATGATTCCACCATATGACCATATAACAATTATTGGAACGTTGAGACAAAATAAACTGCAAATTCCCACTGAAATGTTGAACCCAAAAAACTGTAATTATCTTGCGTTACAACCAGACAAAAGGAGGGGTAGACGCATTTCACCATATGTATGGAAACATAAATTGCTCGAGAAAAACTCGCATATCGCCCTAGTTTTTTGCTTCTGGTGAAAATTGGTAAAAATGGACAAACTGCAATTTGCAAGTCTGCTCCTCAATTAGTGGTTCATATGGTTCAAAGTTACCCCAAATGACTATATGTTGAATAGAAAAAAATGTTCGTATTTCAGTTTGTGATACAATTTACGTTCATAAATAAAGCTCCACTGACTCAAAATGACCCTCATACGTATCTAAGAATCTCTGCATACTGTCAGGTATGCAACCTGAATGTGTAGCTGGTTGTAGTCACATGTTGGCACTAATATGTTAGGGGTTTAGTCTGGGGATTCTCGTAGAAAGAGATAATGTTGTAGCAACATCTAATAAAAATTAAGGAAGATTCTGTTTGACTACATCGTCTGTGCACATAATACTAGAAACATTCTTTACCCAAGCTAAGTATATATCCAAATATGGTGATTCGTCGAAACCGTGCACGGAATCTTTAGAAGACACCGAGACTCAACGTAGACTAGCTACCATAAACATGAGTATTTTAATCATTGTCACTTCATACTGTATTCATACTTTTTTGGAATAAGACCTTTTGGAGAACGAAACATGAGCGTACTCCAATCCACACTTTGGGGAAATAATCTTATGCAGAACGTATGTCGCAAGACTCATGAAAGGTGTTCATATTACATAGAAAACATATTCTAATACCCGCTAGGTATCGTTTCGACTTCTTTGCCCATTTTGCTCTCACGATGACAGCACATCTGCTGTTTGATGATGTTCGAAAATTTACCCATTATATTAGTGTTACCAGCAGATATGATTGCTACTATAATTCACGAGGCGTCGCTCACTGAACTGTACGAACGTGATACAGTTTTGTCATCCTTCGAGGCCTCCTGCTGTTTCACGACCTTCAGGTTTACAAATCAGTTTGCCCAGTACTTTGTTTCCATTTTCTGGAATTGTTATTGGGGCTGTCTTTATTTGCAATATTACCGAGATATGAAGCCAAGGTATCGCATTTGGCCAAGAACGGGGGTTACGATTGCTCGCTCCCCATTCCCACCAAACTATCAGTTCAGGGTACATTCGTGCTCGTTCAAATACAATACACTTAGCCTTGTGCACATTAGAAGTAAGCACCAGCGATCATAGCATGGAAAGTTCTTCTCCATTGCCCACTTTGCTCTCACGATGTCAGCACTTCTACTGCTTGCTGATGTATAAAAATGATTCTATTGATATTAGGAATAATCCTTTGGAGTACATTTCATATATATTCTCAATATAATTGTTAAGGCGCCGTTTCACTAAAGGTCAAGTATAAGGTGTTTTCTCATCCTTCGAGACTATCTTGAATGTCTGTTTCACCAGCCTAGGCATTACTAACCAGGTTCTACAGGAATTTTTATTAGGGCTGGTTTCTTTTTTTAGAAACCGCTGAATCTTGGAGGGTTTTTTGTTATGATTTATTTCAACATGCAGAATGTTTGAAAACTCCCTTAATTCTTCATGATTTTTGTCCTGGACTTTGTGTTTTATGTAGTATCATACTGTAACAAATTGTAAGACTTGTGCTGTTCCTCGCTTATATCGCATATGCTATAAAAATATTGGAGCAATCCTCCTAGGCCAGACACACAAGAAATTCCTTAAAAACACCGGGAAAAACAACACCGTAAGATCTACTGTCACCAAATCTGATCATCCAATTCGCAAACCAAGTCAACGATGTCACATGAAAGCCTCCAAAATTCAAACGACCAGTATGCTGGAATCCAAAGAACTGTCCATTTCCTACGAAATACGTATCCTAAATGTAAATGAAACCAATATCTTACATTTATTGTTTATTCAGTGATCACAAAGACAACGTCCAAACGAAAATCCATGATACAATTATTTATAATCTAACTCTTCGATTTTTGAGTTTAAAAATTATAGCCGTTGTGTTTTCTCAATAACTGCGTATCCCGATCGAAAACAAGACGAATCTCGGAATACAAGGGAGTCTGCCCTTTGATAAGTCATATTTTGATGTTCAAAGCAGCTACCACTAAATATGTACATGGAAATAACCACAATATTGCTTCTGTTAATCTAGCTAATGATTCCACCATATAACCATATAACAATTACTGGAACGTTGAGACAAAATAAACTGGAAATTCCCCCTGAAATTCTGAACCCAAAAAACTGTAATTATATTGCGTTACAACCAGACAAAAGGAGGGGTAGACGCATTTCACCATATGTATGGAAACAGAAATTGCTCGAGAAAAACTCGCATATCGCCCTAGTTTTTTGCTTCTCGTGAAAATTGGTAAAAATGGACAAACTGCAATTTGCAAGTCTGCGCCTCAATTACTGGTTCATATGGTTCAAAGTTACCCCAAATGACTATATGTTGAATAGAAAAAAATGTTCGTATTTCAGTTTGTGATACAATTTACGTTCATAAATAAAGCTCCACTGACTCAATTACAAAACGGTTCTTGTTTGAAAAAATGACCCTCATACGTATCTAAGAATCTCTGCATACTGTCAGGTATGCAACCTGAATGTGTAGCTGGTTGTAGTCACATGTTGGCACTAATATGTTAGGGGTTTAGTCTGGGGATTCTCGTAGAAAGAGATAATGTTGTAGCAACAGATAATAAAAATTAAGAAAGATTCTGTTTGACTACAACGTCTGTGCACATGATACTAGAAACATTCTTTACCCAAGCAAAGTATATATCCAAATATGGTGATTCGTCGAAACCGTGCACGGAATCTTTAGAAGACACCCAGACTCAACGTAGACTAGCTACCATAAACATGAGTATTTTAATCATTGTCACTTCATACTGTATTCATACTTTTTTGGAATAAGGCCTTTTGGAGAACGAAACATGAGCGTACTCCAATCCACACTTTGGGGAAATAATCTTATGCAGAACGTATGTCGCAAGACTCAATATTACATAGAAAACATATTCTAATACCCGCTAGGTATCGTTTCGACTTCTTTGCCCATTTTTCTCTCACGATGACAGCACATCTGCTGCTTGATGATGTTGGAAAATTTACCCATTATATTAATGTTACCAGCAGATATGATTGCTACTATAATTCACGAGGCGTCGCTCACTGAAGTGTACGAACGTGATACAGTTTTCCCATCCTTAAGGCGCGTATACATCTGAGCATTCGGGTCGAATGAGCAAGGCGAGCGCGAATGAGCATTCAAATGTGGACGACTGAGCAACGTGCGCCGAGCACGCTCGACCCGATCCAAATTTTGTCGGTAGATCAAAGCGAGCGCTTGCGGCGAACACGCTCATACGTGATCAGTGTGGACGTCGACAGGGATTTTGTTAACGGAAAGGACATACAATCATGGATTTCACGCGACAACAGTGTTTGGAAATAATAGATTTATACCATCAGAGGCCGATATTATGGAATCCTCGACATCCTAGATGATGCTTGGCGGGAGATCGCAGAAATATGTGGTAGAGATGTAGAAAATATACAGAAAAAAGTTGAGAGCTTGAAGGGATCTTATAGAAGAGAAAGGGCTAAAGTAAAGAAGAGTACCGAAACAGGGAAAGGTAGGAAACATATGATTGACTAATTTTTAACTTGCAAATTGTTTGGCGCAGTCTGTAAATCGTAAACTTGTATTTTTAGGAAAGAACGAAACGTATACGTCACAATGGTTTGCTTTCGACTACCTCAGATTTCTGGATGACAAAGATGAGCCCCGGAGAAGCATAAATGTAAGTACTCACCTAGGTATTATTAATATTACTATTATTTTTGTACGATTATCTCGGTAATTTTTAACATTAATATTTTACAGAGTATGGTATCATTACTCAAAACCGTGTGATCATTATTTACTAGATGTCATATAAATCATTATTATTATCCTGATCCTTTAGACTACATTTCTTTGCTGTAGTCTATGTCTATGTAGTTTCAAACGGTTTTAAGCTAATCATGCGAAAACAAACCAATTAAGTAATAATCTACCCCCTACGTTACCCCAACAAACTTCATATTTTAGTTTGACCTCCTTCTGAAATGATTTATTTATCACTAATAATAATTACGATTAATTAAATACAAATGAAATTAATTGTTAGGTAATAATTTATTGATAAAGAGAAAGCAGATAAATATTATTTATTTAGGCACATTTGCTTTGCCAGGAAACGGCGCCATTGCTACAAAAATATTCAGTAAATCTTATGTTGGTAGGCACTGGTTTGCTTCGTCGTGGTATGTTCCTTACTGGTAAAAGTGATGATGATATTTTCTGATTATCAGTTCGCCAAGTGCCGAGTATTGTGTTTCCATCGACTTCACTATCCAAACAACCAGGTGGCGTATATATATATTTCTTGAAGTTTGGCTCCTGCGCAAAAAGTTGTGGAGGCAAACTACTGTCATTACTATGAGTTGTGCCTTTTCGGGTTCTAAAAGCATCGGTTTTCGCAAGACGCGAAAAACACTAGAAGCAATGCCAAACGCATTCTCAACAACACGACGTGCCCGGCTGAGCCGATAATTAAATATTCGTTCAGGAGACTCTTTTGGATGTTGGCCAGCGTAGGGTTTCATTATGTGTTGACTTAGTGGGAATGCTGCGTCGCCCAAGAATATAAAGGGAATTGCGACAGTTCTTCCAATTAGAGGCGAAGATGTAGGCAGATTTAAAGCATTATTCGCAATTTTTTTATACAGCTGACAGTTCTGAAAGACACCACCGTCCGATATGCGGCCTTGGCATCCTATGTCCACGAACATGAAATTGTAGTCGGCATCAACCAAGGCCATCAGAACAATACTAAAGAATGATTTATAGTTGTGAAAGTCACTTCCGCTTTTAATTGGAGCTTGTAAAACTACGTGCTTACCGTCTATAGCACCCACGCAATGTGGGAAATTCCAAATGTCTTCGAATTTCTGGGCGACGTTTTTCCATTCGTCTTCCGAAGCTGGAAGCTGAAAAAAAAATGTTATTCAGGCTAGTATGGTCGCTGTCAATTAAGTGCTTGTTTTCCGGGCGAACTTGTATAGAAAACATGAAAGTCGATAAGTTGCATTTCGCCCGAAGAAAGAGCACAAAACAAAAAAACAAACATTCATAAAAAGAAACTTGCTACTATGTGCTACTATTACTGGGGTAAAATCTCGTGTTCTGTCATCCCCACATAATTCTGATTTGGTCTGCTTTTGTTGCAGGTTACTTGTCAATATATTTCTTTTTATTTGCAGAATCTACAGCCCAATTCTCCTGAAGATGGGATAAACACTTCCTCGGAAATAGAAGATTTCAATGATGAACCAAGGAACAATACAGAAATAGAAGCTTCTCAAAATGACGAACCAGCTCTGGAAACCTCAGAAGGAGCAGCCCCAAGTGAAATAAAAACAAAGACTTTTAAGTCACCGAAAAAACGTGCAGTCAAAAGGCGTAAGGAAGAAGAAGATCCAAGAATAATGCAGGCTTTTGGATATCTGCAAAACGTGGCTTCAGGTTCTGCAAGTAACAAAAGAGACGATTGCAGCGTCTACGGAGAACACGTTGCCAATAAAATTCGAAAATTTGATGATCGTCTCAAATCTTTGGCCCAGCACAGAATCAACAATATTTTATTCGATTTAGAAATGAGTCACTACAATAGTTCAGCTGCTCCTCAGCCTTTGCGAGAATTTGCACCAGGGTATCCTCAGACCATGAGTACAAACCAATACGATTATCAGCAAGTATCCACACGCTTCCCACAATCTTCCTTTAACAATTGTGAATTATTGCCACCAATGCCTCAAACACCACCTACTCCAGCTCAAACTTCAATTTCCCGTTCATCAACTCCTACTTCATCTTGCTCACACAGCGGTACTAATTCAGCTTTGCATAATTATTTTGCAAGTTTCTCAGATGATACTGGGGATAATAATTCTACCCGATAGTAGCATGTATTATATGTTATTAAACTAGGCAATAAAATGATTTTCTACATTTAAGTGTCGTTTTACTTACCTTAACGTGATCTATTAAACATTCAATAAGAGCTTGACACACCTCCGGTATTATTTGTGATATTAGCTGCTTTGATATCCGAAATAGGTACTGTAAACTAGTATACGAGTCCCCTGTAGCTAAAAAACGTAAAGTGACTGCCAACCTTTCTTCAACGCTGACTGCTTTTCTAAATACTGTGTCACGTCTCATTATTTTCGTTATGATTGCATTTAGAAGAAAATTAAAATCATCTTGGGACATTCGGGTAAAATTCTTGAAGTGACCCGTCCCTTCTTCGGACAAATCATTTAATAACAAGGTACTGTTAATACCAATTTCTCTTTTCATATATAATTGTGATGTCCATCGACGTCTCTGTCTCCTTCGTTTCTGCTTTAATAACCTGCATATCACAATAAAACTAGCACTAGCCACTGCCAGACTTTCATCCGCCATATTGAAACGCGCACTACGAGCATTCATGGAGCAATCCGAATGAAAGCTCATGTGTCTCGCTCGAGTGTCCCATTCAGATGTGTACGCAGCCCCCTTCCAAATGCTCATTCGCGCTCGCCTTGCTCATTCGACCCGAATGCTCAGATGTATACGCGCCTTTAAGCCGCGTATACATTTGAGCACGAATCCGAATGAGCACAATGCGAACGGAACGAGCATTCTGATGTGGACTGGAATCCGAAGCGAACCGAACAAGCACGCTTTGTTCGGCGAATACGCTCAGACCGATCCGCGCGCCGTTGGTCCATCAAAGAAATTTCGTGCTCAATGTGGACGGTGTTTAGGCGGTAGACGTGTTCGGACCCGAACAAAAATACGCGTTCATTTAACTCATTGCATTTAAGTACATGCTGGAAACATTTTTGCTTGAAAATAAGAGTGTTAGAAATGGAATGGACACAGGAGAAGTGTTTAGAAATTATAAGTTATTACCAAAAACGGGAAATATTGTGGAATCCCCGCCATCCACAATATTATAATAATATTAAAAAGGAAGATGCATGGCGGGAAATAGCTAACGAAAGTAATGTCAACATAAATGAATTAAAGAAGAAGTTTGAAAGCCTGAAGGGATCATATCGACGGGAGAAGGCAAAAGAAAAAAAAGTATGGGCACGGGTAAAGGTAAGATAAGATATGAAGGGTTTCCAGCAAAAACCGCATTTGTCAAATTTGTCCACTTTTGAGATATTGGCAACATTGTATCAAGAATAATCCTAGTGTGTTATCTAAAAAATATTTCCAGCAAAAACAGCAATTGTCAGCCTTATTCATACAGATAAAGCATGGATCGTTCGGCAAAAACCGCACTTGTCTTGACCTGTGTTGTTTTCGCAGGAAATTAAAGATTCGTTACAGTGTTTAAAACATGGACGCGTCGCAAAGTGTTGTACCGACAATTAGAGCAAAACAACTGAAGAAAAGAGAGTTAATACGTCTAAAAAAAGTTAAAGGTGCTGCTCACTTAAACCATAAAGGCGTTTTTGTTCCGGAAAAGCAAATTGGTGAGGATTGCAAGTAAGTTTTTCACGCTGTTTCTCTTGTTTATTCCTTCTAACCTCTACATCGCTCGTAGGTGTGTTCGTCACAAATGCTTCAATGCGGTGCTGCCAGAGCAAAGACAAGAAATTTTCGAAAGTTTTTATAATATTCCTACAAAAGACTTACAAGATTCACATCTGTCTGGCCTTATTACATTACAAGCAGTAAAGCAACGACGGTCGCGAAAACCTGCAAGAAATAACGATCTCGTTGATTATTCCGACTCAGACGAAGACATCACTTTACCAAATTATGAACATTCAAGTTCTTATGCTTTTAAAGTTCGAACAAAGCAATCTGGGGATTGTTATAAAGAAGTGCCCGTATGTAGGAAGGCTTTTCTTAGTCTCCACGGAATCAGTTGTGCGCGTCTTAGACGCATACAGGAACATCTAAGTAAAACAGCAAAATCACCCTGTGACAGGCGCGGTAAACATGATAATAGACCCAATGCCTTACCTTGTGAATTGCAAAATTTAGTTGAAGATCACATTAAATCATACAGACCTCGACAATCTCATTATTCATTAAGGCAAAATCCAAATCGTTACTATCTCCCTGAGACCCTAAGTGTTCGGGCATTGTACAGATCATTTTTAAAAGATTATCATATTAATGTCAGCTATAAAGCTTATTGGACAGTTTTTCATAAGAAATTTAATATAAAATTTGGAATGCCGAGAACTGATACATGCTCAACTTGCGACTCTCTGATTCAAAAAATTGCTGCAGCAGAAAATGACGAATCAAGAGCTCCCCTACTAGCGGAAAAGGAGCTTCATTTGAGAAAAGCAAAAGCATTCTATGATTTGAAGAAAAAGTGGCAAGAAAAGGCTAGAAATGGAGAGGCAATGGTTGTTTGTTTCGACTTTATGCAAAATTTACCTTTACCGCATATTAGGGACAACTTAGCGTTCAGATGCCGTCAGCTTTGGTATTACGTTTTTGGCGTCCATAATCTTAAAGATGATAGTGCAACAATGTACACCTACGATGAAACAATAGCAAAAAAAGGTCAAAATGAAGTTACTTCATTACTTTTTCATTATTTTACACAGGTTCCTGACATCACTTCTCGAAACTTGGTATTAATAAGTGATGGTTGCCCGGGACAAAATAAAAATTATGTTATGATGCATTTTATGTATTTATTAGTCCACTGTTTGAAGTTGTTTGACAATATTACCTATATTTTTCCGATACGTGGCCATTCATTTCTGCCCAACGATCAAGACTTTTCAATTATCTCAAAACGAAAAGCGGTTGAAGTAGCAGAGATTCCCGAGCATTGGGATACTATCATACAGACTTGCAGGAGCAATCCGTCTCCATTTAATCTGATTAAGGTACAACAAAAACACTTTTTTAACGTAAAATTATCCACAGATAAATATTTTCTTAAGAACCCTCGACCTCCAATTAAGCTGAAATCGTTAAGAATGTATCGCATTCAGGCGAAAAACAAGTTTTTGGAAATAAGGGACAGTTATAGTGGACCATGGAGACAATCCATACTTCGAAATAAAATACCTCTATCCAATGAACTTCAACTTGTTCCGTTATATCGAGAACCTTTAGCCATTAATCCATTAAAACTAAAAGACCTACAGACTCTCAGCAAGGTACTGAGTAAAAGAGAACATACCGGCTTCTATAATGCCCTACGACCAACAGAATCAAACATTGCTGAATTAAGCGACATCGATCCCGAAGATAACAGCAGTGGGTGTGACGAGTAGAAAAAATGATGTTCCCGTATTTAGAATATGTTTAAGTTTATATTTAACATCGAATGATTATTATTTAAGCGAACTTTGTCATCATATTTCAATAAAGTATGTTTTCTTTGTAAGTTCATTTTCATTTTCTTGCAAAAACAGCACTTGTCAAACAAAAAAATCTAATTTATGATGTTAAAACGTTTTTAAATTTATTTCATCATGCATTGTTTTATTATGCATTTTAATCTACAACCCATCCAGGAACCGCCTTTTGAAATAATTAACATCTAAGAAGATAACAGGTTTTTTTAGTTTTCTGTAAAATGCTAATTTTTGACAAATGCGGTTTTTGCTGGAAACCCTTCATATACTTAGTTAATTATGTAAATATACTGACTGCTGAAAAAAAAAATTTAGGACGAGACGATATTTATTCTTCAAAATGGTTTGCTTACGAAAGTATGAGGTTTCTACATGACAGGGATCAAGCAAGGAAAACCAGAAGCGTAAGTGTTTACAGAGTGTTTTATTAAGAGTACAAATGTTATTAAATCGAAGATTAAATTTATGCGTAATGATTTTGCCAAGGGACTGCGCCCGTTGAATTAAAATATTGACAACATTCTTCTCTAATTTCGTTGGTCGAAAGCGGTGCTCGACGCGGTGTGTTTGTAAGAGACATGAATGAAGACGATGGCAGGTCACTGCGCCAACTTCCTGGCACAATATGTCCATTAACTTCCTCATCTAGACTACCTGGAGGGGTGTATACATTTCTAGAAGTTCTACTTTTACGTAGAAAATTATGCAAACACACTATTGTCATGACTATCAATTGTGCCTTTTCTGGTTCTAAAAGCATCGGTTTTCGTAATACTCGAAATACACTAGTAGTACCAGTTTGGAAGCTGGTCCCAGTCTATAGAGAGAATAAGTTCCACATCAAAATGGAAAAGAAAGAATATTCCATCGATGAAATCCGAAAAATCGCACCTGGTTACCGGGGAAAGAATTTTGATCCTACAAAGATGAGAAATCGGGCAGACCCAAACGAAGCCAAAAGTAGCGAGAGGAAAGAGGCACCGAGAGATAAGGTAAAGGGCCCGAGATCACCGGAGGTCCCACCGCCTACTCACCCGCAAACAAAAGCAACGCCGCAGAGAAACGAAGACTTGGCATCCAATGCCATATTCGGACCTGAGATGGCGCGAATGCCTGAGCAGCCCAATCAGAGCTTCTCAGTAAATTTTGCAAAGGTGGTAGATTTATCTGTCGAAATGTACTCAACATACATGTTCTCAACGACGCGGCGAGCTCTGCTCAAACGGTAGTTAAAAATTCGCTTCATAGATCCTCTTTCGTGATTCCCAGAATAAGGTTTTATTAAATAATCACATAGAGGAAAAGCTGCGTCTCCTATCAATACATACGGTGTCTGTTTTGTGCGACCAGGTAATGGTGAATTTTGAGGAAAATTTAAAGTTCCATTGGCAATTTTTTTATAAAGATCACATCGTTTAAACACACCGCCATCAGAAATTCGCCCTTGGCAACCTATGTCCACAAATGTGAAATTGTAGTCCGCGTCCACCACAGCCATCAAAACGATGCTGAATTGCGATTTGTAATTAAAAAAATCACTTCCACTTTTCATCGGGGCTTGCAAAAGTACATGTTTTCCATCAATTGGCCCTACACAATGTGGGAAGTTCCAAACTTCTTCAAATCGTTTTGATATTTCTTTCCATTCCTCTGTAGACGACGGTACCTATAAAAAAAATAAAATAAAGCTCGCAAGAGTAATATACAGATATTTTTGTAGAATTCACAAATGGCCGATGATGACGTTAAGGGAAATAATGAAGACGACACCGATAGCTTACACTACGACAGCAGTAACGAAGGTGCAGAAAACGCGATTATTGATTTGGACAGTTCTCATGAAGAAATTCATTCGGATAGACACACGTCACCAATTGCAGAAGTTAAGAAGAAAGTATTTGTATCTCCAAAAAAATCTGCCCCAAAACGAAAAGCCAGCGAAGATCCGCGTATAAATGCTGCATATCAATATTTAAAGAAAGCTGCTGAAAGGCCTCAAGAAAGTAAAGATGAATGTGCATCATATGGTGAATATGTGGCACATAAACTGAGAAAACTAGATGACCGCCACCGAGCTATTGCACAACATAAGATTAATAATAATTTGTTTGAAGTAGAAATGATGCAGTTGTCAGCCCACGCACAGACCTCTCAGCATACCCAAGTTTTCCCATCCATGTCCTCAACCCAAGTTTTCGAACCACCAATTACACAGACTCATATAGCACGCTCTCCTTCATTTGAAACGTATAACATGCCAAGATATCAACGTACAGCGCAAGCTCCCGCATTTATTCAAAGTCAGAACCTGACAAATTTGGACATAGAATCTTTCTAATTTTGTAGAAAATTTCAGCCCCGATTACGACGATTAATTGTTCCAGATAAATATTAGAATTGTACTTTTGTGGTTTAGTAAAACAATAAATAAATAATTATGTAGATTTTGCTTTGAAATATATTTATTTACATACCTGAACAAAATCCCCAAGACAGTGTATAATGGCTTCACACACCTCTGGAATTATACGGGATATTGCTTGTTTTGAAATCTTAAATAAATACTGGAGACTCACATAGGAATCTCCAGTAGCAAGGAAGCGAAGAGTCACTGCAAGTCTTTCATCGCATGGTATTGCTTTTCTAAATTTGGTGTCACTTTTGGATATTCTCTCTCTTATGTGGTTTAAAATAAAATTGAAGTCTTCCATAGACATTCTTGTAAAATTTTTAAATCGGCATTGGTATTCTTCCGACAGTAAATCTTGCAATAAAAAACTGCTATTGACATCTGGTTCTCTGCTCCTCATTACAAACAATGGCGATATCCAACTGCGCCTCTTTTTCTTCTTGCTTTTCTTTAATAAATTATATAAAACTATGAAACTCGCACTGACTAGTTGCATGTCTGCCATTTTAAAACGGGTAGATCCGAACAACTGGAGCGGTTGCGAACAGGATGTTCATTCGTGCTCGTACCGATATCAATTCTGATCCCGAACAGAGGATCAGCTCGTTCGGGTTGTGCTCATTCATATTCGTGCTCGGCTTTAGAGGCCTCCTGCTGTTTCACGACCTTCAGGTTTACAAATCAGTTTGTCCAGTACTTTGTTTCCATTTTCTGGAACTGTTATTGGAGCTGTCTTTATTTGCAATATTACCGAGATATGAAGCCAAGGTATCGCATTTGGCCGAGAACGGGGGTTACGATTGCTCGCTCCCCATTCCCACCAAACTATCAGTTCAGGGTACATTCGTGCTCGTTCAAATACAATACACTTAGCCTTTTGCACATTAGAAGTAAGCACCAACGATCATAGCATGGAAAGTTCTTCTCCATTGCCCACTTTGCTCTCACGATGTCAGCACTTCTACTGCTTGCTGATGTTTAAAAATGATTCTATTGATATTCGGAATAATCCTTTGGAGTACATTTCATATATATTCTCAATATAATTGTTAAGGCGCCGTTTCACTAAAGCTCAAGTATAAGGTGTTTTCTCATCCTTCGACTCTATCTTGAATGTCTGTTCCACTAGCCTAGGCATTACTAACCAGGTTCTACAGGAATTTTTATTGGGGCTGGTTTCTTTTTTTAGAAACCACTGAATCTTGGAGGGTTTTTTGTTATGATTTATTTCAACATGCAGAATGTTTGAAAACTCCCTTAATTCTTCATGATTTTTGTCCTGGACTTTGTGTTTTATGTAGTATCTTGCTGTAACAAACTGTTAAGGTGGGTCCAGACTTGAACATTTTAGCCCGAACGAGCTGAGCGAGCAAAGCCGAATTCGCTAAGTGTGGACCTGCGCCCGAGCCGAACGTTTTCCGGAGCTTGTCGGTAAATCGGAAATGCTCAAAGAGGTTTATTGTTCGCCGAATTATTCAGTTGACGGAATTAATATAGTTCGCGCGGTTCGCAGCATTCGAGTAATTGTGTGTTTTGAAGGTACGGCAAAAATAAGAAAGAGTTATTTAGTTTTATTATTTAAATAATAATTTGATAATGGAATGGAATAGGGAAGCATGTTTAAAATTAATTGACATTTATGAACAAAACCCTGTGTTGTGGAATCCCAAACACGGATTGTATTACAATAAAATAAAAAAGCATGACGCCTGGGTGAATATTGGTCAAATCATGCAGTGTGGTAGTGAAGAGGTAAAAAAGAAAATGGAGAGCATGTTGGCAAGTTTCAGGCGGGAAAAATCCAAAGGCAAAAAATCTGTTGGTACCGGTAAAGGTAATTTATACAGCACTGTGGACCAAATTAGGTGTTATATTTGAAAAACAATTTCTTTTATAGGTAGGCAAGAAGTGTATATATCCAAATGGTTTGCTTTTACCCGAATGGCCTTTTTATTAGACAGAGATGAACCAACAGAAACATTAACTTCTCTCAATGTAAGTATATTTGACTCATAAATAATAATAGGCAGAAAATGAAGTAATATTTACATATGTATTATATTCATTTATTGTAAAAGTAAGTTGCAAATTTATCCCGCACTTCTTTTGCTTCCAATGATGTTTTACGTGGAATTTGCCTGATGGGTATGAATGATGACAAATCATTGTTGCCTTCACTTCTCCAGTTACCAGGAATTATATTTCCCATGCTGTCTTCTTGGTCAAATGTTCCAGGGGGAGTATAAGTATTTCGAGATTTACTTTTTCGTAGAAAGTTATGTAGGCATACTGCTGTCATCATTACGTATTTTGCCTTTTCTGGTTCCAATAGCATGGGTTTTCGTAAAACTCGAAAAACTGCAGAAACAATGCCGAAAACATTCTCTACAACTCTTCTTGCACGACTTAGGTGGTAGTTGAATTTTCTCTGCGTTGTACCTTTTTCGTGCATCCCCGAGTACGGTTTCATTATCCTCTTTGTCAAGGGAAATGCCTCATCTGCTAAGAAAACATATGGCATATTATTGCCTATTTCGGGCAGTAACTTGTCCATAGGAAAGTGTAGCCTGTCTTCTGTGATTTTTCTATGTAGTGAAGTATGTTTAAAAACACCGCCGTCTGAAATTCTACCTTGAGAACCAATGTCCACAAAAATAAAATTGTATGCCGCATCCACAACTGCAAATAACACAATACTAAAATTTGATTTATAATTATAATATTCGCTTCCAGTATTGAAAGGGCTTGTTATTATAATATGTTTCCCATCCATGGAGCCCACACAATGTGGAAATTGCCATTGTTCGTAAAAAATCTTGGAAATTTGAAGCCATTCTTCGGCAGTTGATGGAATCTGAAATAAAATAAAAAACGGCCTAAGTTTAGGACTAAATTTTAAAAAAAAACTCTAGATGCACAATTATTTTTTGATATATTTTTTGGAATATTCGTGCACTTGTCGGTTTAAACCTATACCTTATTTTTTAATTAGGAGTTGTTGACGAAATTTTTGGTTATGTTATTTTAATGCGGAAATGGATAAGTTTTCTTGTGTAAACCCACCTTAAATTTGACCAATCACGAGGCTTAATTTTAGGCGCGCTTTTTTGAATCACTCCTCCTAATTAAAAAATGAACTATAGGAAAGCGTCAAATTTCACCGGTTTTAAAGTTAGACTACTTTAGTGAATCCTTGGGAGGTAATCCCTGCAAATACAGTGTATTTTGACAAAATTATATCACATTAAATTTCCTGTTTGTTTTTTCTAGGATGACACAGAAACGATGGAGGCTGCTTCGCAAGAAGATATTGAGGATTCCCTTGATCAATCTACAGATATAAATGATGATCATTCACAAAACGACAGAGGCAATCTTGATGAAAGCCAAACCGTACCTTTTCAAGTGAAAAGAACGTGTCGTGTAAACTTAAAAAAAGGAACAAAACAGAACATATCTCGGGAAGATAGCACTATTGTCGAAGCCTTTGGAATGCTAAAAAACGTAGTAGCAAAGGAAAAGCCCGCAGAAATATCAGATAGTTGTACTGATTATGGAAAGCATGTGGCAAATAAGTTGAGAAATTATTCGGAGAGGACTAAAGCAATAGTACAGTACCATTTTAATAATATATTATTTCAAGCTGACATGGGTAATTTTGAAATAAATAGAAATGCAGCAGCTATGAATGTTGCTGCAAACTATCAGAATTCGTCCATAACTTTGCCCACTGGTCACTTTACGACACCCATTCCAACACCTTCTCCACAAGAAACGTCACAAAGTGAAGTTTCATATACTGATTTGACATCTCCGATCAGCGAAGTTAATGCTCAAGAAGAAACAGGTTCAATTGGAGCAGGCGCTAATTTCTTAAGCAACTGGCAAATTTAACATTACTACCTACCTACCAATTATTGGAAAGAAAATTCATTATTTTCTATTTTTTGCTGCTTTATTTTTGTGTTCGTTAATTAATTAATATAGGTTCTAATATCACTTATAATGCATATGTATTATTTCTTACCTTTATCAGGTCCTTCAAACTCAAGGTTAGCGCTTTACATGTTTCTGCCACTATGATGCTAATACTTTGTTTTGATATTTTAAACAAATACTGAAGGCTGGTGAAAGAATCGCCAGAAGCTAAAAACCTCAATGTTAAGGCTAAACGATCTTTAACTGGTATTGCTTTGCGTAACTTTGTATCCGTCTTTTGAATTACAGGTCCAATTAAATTTATCAACTCCTCAAAATCTTCTGAAGTCATTCTGGTAAAATTTTTTAAATGGATGTGGTCCATTTCTAATAATAACAAGTTATTGTTGCGCTGTCGATACAATTTTCGTACCCATTGGCTCCGCGCTTTTTTCTTCTTTTTGGCAGCAATTTTACAAATTAGAAAAAAAGAGCTAAATGCTACCGCTAACTCAGTATTCATATTCAATCTTGAAATTCACTATCTTACTTTTACCAGCACTTCCGTATATCTTTGCGGAAAAAAATAACAATAGCAAATACATAAACACTTCGAGCAGTTGGAACTTTTAATGCTCGCGCGAACGGATCGACCTATGCTCTGTCTGTTCGCTCTGCTTATTTCCGCACGCTCAGCTCGTTCTGTTCGTTCGGGCTAAAATGTTCAAGTCTGGACCCACCTTTAGACTTCCTCGCTTATATCGCATATGCTATAAAAATATTGGAGCAAACCTCCTAGGCCAGATACACAAGAAATTCCTTAAAAACACCGGGAAAAACAACACCGTAAGATCTACTGTCACCAAATCAGATCATCCAATTCGCAAACCAAGTCAACGATGTCACATCAAAGCCTCCAAAATTCAAACGACCAGTATGCTGGAATCCAAAGAACTGTCCATTTCCTACGAAATACGTATCCTAAATGTAAATGAAACCAATATCTTACATTTATTGTTTATTCAGTGATCGCAAATACAACGTCCAAACGAAAATCCTTGATACAATTATTTATAATCTAACTCTTCGATTTTTGAGTTTAAAAGTTATAGCCGTTGTGTTTTCTCAATAACTGCGTCTCCCGATCGAAAACAAGACGAATTTCGGAATACAAGGGAGTCTGCCCTTTGATAAGTCATATTTTGATGTTCAAAGCAGCTACCACTAAATATGTACATGGAAATAACCACAATATTGCTTCTGTTAATCTAGCTAATGATTCCACCATATAACCATATAACAATTATTGGAACGTTGAGACAAAATAAACTGGAAATTCCCACTGAAATTCTGAACCCAAAAAACTGTAATTATCTTGCGTTACAACCAGACAAAAGGAGGGGTAGACGCATTTCACCATATGTATGGAAACAGAAATTGCTCGAGAAAAACTCGCATATCGCCCTAGTTTTTTGCTTCTCGTGAAAATTGGTAAAAATGGACAAACTGCAATTTGCAAGTCTGCGCCTCAATTACTGGTTCATATGGTTCAAAGTTACCCCAAATGACTATATGTTGAATAGAAAAAAATGTTCGTATTTCAGTTTGTGATACAATTTACGTTCATAAATAAAGCTCCACTGACTCAATTACAAAACGGTTCTTATTTGAAAAAATGACCCTCATACGTATCTAAGAATCTCTGCATACTGTCAGGTATGCAAACTGAATGTGTAGCTGGTTGTAGTCACATGTTGGCACTAATATGTTAGGGGTTTAGTCTGGGGATTCTCGTAGAAAGAGATAATGTTGTAGCAACAGATAATAAAAATTAAGAAAGATTC